AAGTCTACTGGAGCATTCAGATGAAAGTGTGAATGTTTAAAATATGTTGACCACACCGTCTATCATCACATTGCCATGTTGCTGCATTATAAGTTTATTTCATCTTTGATTCATATTTTCTTTCATTTAAGATCACAGTTCAGTAGTTTGAAAGCAATGAAAGCTAATTCCATTGTCATGAGAATGTCATATCTTTGAGAGTCAGTACACATCACTGGTTGTACGAATCTGGACTCAGCCACGCCTAATTTTGTATTAACATACGTCATTGTCTCGATATGTGATCTAGGGAAAGATGGGTAACCTTTCTATTCCTCAGCTTCCTCATCTATGAAGTAGGAATGATAAAAATGGTACTTATGTCATAGAACTGTTGTAAAAAATGGAATGATATGAAAAATATGTAACTTAGGCAATACATGATAGCTTTTGTTACATTCCCCGATGAGATAAATGGTGAGAGGAAGTGAAGTGGGGAATTATTCAGCAATTAATATATTACTGATATTTCCCCTATGAGTGCTCATTTAATCCTTTATGCAGTCTCAGGAAATATGTGTTGTGCCATTTTACAAATGAGGAAACTGAGGTGTCCAACATAAAGATACTTTGTATTGCCCTGTGAGCAACCTTAGGCAAGGAACCTGACAGTGGGCTGCTACCTTGTGAAAAGGGGGTGAGAATCCATATTCTAACTTCCTGATAAGTTAGAAGGCTCCAGTGAGCCACATCACTGAAAAGAGTATGATGTCCTGGAGTCACCTTCTGGAATATTAAGGCCTCCTGCTAGGAGTGGTAATGCTGTCGTGTCCTCTCCAGTCCTCCCGCAAGAAAAACGGTCTGTCTTCAGCCCTACGAGGTGCCAGAGAAATAACGCAAGGGTCAAAATAGCCTTCTCGGGGTGTTCCAGCCTCTAGAGACTCTGGCAGCTCCGTGGCCTGCAGCTCCACGGCCCGGGTCTCCTCCTTCTGAGCAGGGGGGCCTTCCCTGCTTAAACTCCAGCTGGGCAGAGACCAGCAGTAACGAGAGACACTTGTCTCAACCCTGGGGGGAAGACTCAAATCTCCAAAGACACTGTCCTGAAGCAACAAGTGAGCAGAGTTTTAGAAGATGTGAAGGAATGTTCTATAGACACGCCGTAGACATTTTGACCTTCTGTGGCTCCTTCCCTTTCTGTAAGTTAAGATCTCCTGTCATACAGCAGCTAAGGGATAAACCAAACTAGTTCAGCTTTCTAAGGATCCATGCAGGACCAGCAAAGAGCTAACTGCCATGAGCAGAGGCTGCAGCAATGCAGACCCTTCTAGATGGGTACGGTCATTCACTCTTTGTCCTTCCATGGCTGGCTTAGTTCACTTGTGGTTGATGTCCTTGGGGTCCATCCGTCCGTGTTGTCGCATGTTGCCAATATCCATCTCTTTTAAGTGAGTGATGTTCCCCTTTATGTATAGACTACATTTTTCAGGGCTCTTCATCCATCAGTGGATTTTAGGATTGTTTCCACATCTTGGCTATTGTGATCGGAGCCTTAATATAGTTAAGTTCATAGAAGCAAAGAATGGAATGGTGGTTGCCAGGCATTGGATGAGGCAGACTGAGGAGGTATTCGCCGGAGGTGTTAAGTAAGTTTCAGTTACGCAAGATGAATAAGTTCTAGAGATTTACTGTATGACATTGTGCTTCTTGATAACTATACTTTGTGTGTGGTACAATCTGTTAAGATGATAGATCTCATGTTAAGTGTTGTTATACCACAGTTAAAAGAAATAAATATGACATTTTTTTTTTTTGCCGATGACATCAGGGCAGTTAAATAATCTGAATTTTGCTTTAGAAGGACAACTTTGGTGTTGTTATAGAAAGTACATGGAGGAAGAGAAAATGTAGCCAAGAGAAGTTAGGAGGCCATTTGTCTGGTCTTGGTGAAAGGTAATAGAGTTACAGGAGAGGAAGAAAAAAGTATAGGAGAGACCGGGCCTGAAAATTAAACCGGTAAAGACTGATTAGCAGGAGAGAAGCATACAAATTTATTTGATATAAGTTTTATGTAACACAGCATCCTTCAGAAGGAAATGAAGACCCAAATAAGCAGTTAAATCTGAGTATTTTTATGCTAGGTTTGATGAAGAGTTGACAATCATGGGGAAATATGATAGGTCAGAGTATAAAGTATAATAAATGGAGAAATTTAGCAAGGCTTGTTTGTTAGGATTCGTCTCTGCCTGCCTTTGTCTTCAGAGATAAGGATACTTCTTTCCTCCAGGTGTGGTGAGGGAACTTCTCAAATGAAGGTTTTATGACCTGTTTCGGTTGAGAAGGGCAGCGGGAAAGTCAGAGTGACTTTCCTGCTGCTGCGGTTTCCTCATACTCCTTCAGTGTAGAATATTCAATATCCCAGGGCACCTGGGCTTCTCAGTCAGTTAAGTGTCCAACTTTGGCTCAGCTCCTGATCTTGTGGTTTGTGAGGTTGAGTACCGTGTCAGGCTCTGAGCCTGTTTTGGATTCTGTGTGTCTCTCTTTCCTCTCCCCCGCTCACACTCTTCTGTCTCTCTCTCTCAGAAATAAATAAAAACATTTAAAATATTGAAAAAAAAATCAATATACCAAGATGACATATTTTGAGGGCAGTGTGTCCTGAATCACCTCAAAGGTATATATTAAAAGTGGCTGGAAACAACTGGGCAAATTTGACTTACATTTCAGAGGTGGAATCAACTGAATTCTCCCTATGTGATTCAGTGTTACCAGTCAGGGGAAGAGAAGGCTAATTCATCTCCCTTGGATATTGAGTTCCAAGTACCTGTGGGATATCTAGGTTTAGCTGCTCAGTAGATACCCAGAGCTATGGACCTGGGGATCAGGAAGGAACGGCAATGGAGCCAAGAGTTTTGTGAATAAAGGATATTAGAAATAATAGTTGAATCCAACAGGGGAGTGTCAAGTTGAAAAGTAAGGCCAGAGAGCAAAGTCCCAGGGGATACCATATTTATGGGTAGTTGGAGGAGTTGGTGTGGCCAGCAAAGTGTTAGAATCCTGAAATAGAAGCGAGGGAAAGGGAATTTCAAGGCGTGTGTAGTTTTCGGTGATGTCTGATATTTTGGGGATATCAAATAAAACATGAAATGTGAAAAGTGGTAGTCAGGCTAAACAAATAAGGCCATTTCTAACCTATGATAACGTGGTAATGTGGTAAGATACCAGAATATGCAATAATGGGGGAAGGTAGAGACTGTGTAGAAGATTCCTTCATGAAATTGACTAGTGAAGTAAATTTTTTCATTTGACAGACAGACAGGACTAACTTTTAAAGGTATCCCAGAGCTAAAGGTGAAGAGGAAGAGTTTACAGAATACAGAAGCTTAGGACCAAATATAAAAATTCTTAAAACATTTTCTCCTGCTATGAGTACCTGGTCTTATTTTTGGTGTGCTCAGCAAATGCACCAAAACATGTAAATTTCTTGAGTATGACTGACTCAATTTTTTCCCTAGATAATCGAATCTTGTTAAGATCTGTCTATCCCTAGGTGTTTTTGTTTTTGTTTTTTACTCAGCACTCTTGTAATTCTGTGAGCAGTTATTTCAAGCTTGTGCTCACGAAGCACTTCACACTAGCTCTGTGTGCTTCACTGTTTGCTAACTTTGCACCTGGTCATTGCTTAAGGAAGCATTTTTGTAAAGTTTTAAATGTAATTAAAAGCGATGTTATGCTGTTTAGGTTCTCTTTTTTCCTTTCCACATTTTTGGCTCTGCATTCTGCTTTTAATGATACTACACTATTGAGCATGAGACCGAGAAACGTCTCATGCATATAATGCAGTGTCCTCCCCCAAACACAACCCTTTACTTCCCTTTAAGAGTAACTACCACTATTCTGATTTTTATACGGTCGCAGCCTTGCTTTTCAAAATTGTTTTATTACGCAGGTGTATATCCCTGAATATTATAGTTCATTTTTACTTCCTTTTTTCAAGACAGGTTTTTAAAGTATCTTTTCAATTTTAGGTTCATTTCTTTCCCTTTTCTAATTTATCTGTTGAAAGAACCAGATCATTCATCTTGTAGTCTTCTCACACTTAGATTCTGTTGATCACTTTCATGGGGTGCAGTTTAACATGTTTTTCCCATCCTCTATATTTCCTGTAAATTGGTAGTTGGATCTAGAGACTTAATTTCAGGACTTCCTCCCCCTTTATTTTATTTTATATTTTTGGACAAAAGTACACTTAGGAAGTGGTGAAGGGACACACAGTTCAGTGTTTAGGAGGGTTGCAGCAGTTCATGTAGAATGCCCAAATCTGCAACATCATTGTGTCAGATTTCTAGAATTTCTTCATTTATTTGTTGGATACGTTCTTGTAAGAACTACAAATAACACGATTCCGGAAAGGAGTCAAAACAGTTACTTCATTTTCTACCTTAGGTTTCCTTTGTTTTTACAGTTGGACTGTTTCTATGCTATCAGCATATGGCACTCCTTTATACAGTGCTCATTCCCTGTATCCTTGTCAGCTAGAGATTTTAAGAAGATTAAGATTATAGCCTTAGGCTTTTGCTATTTGGTTAATGTAACAAACCCTTTCTTCAGCTGTGACAATGAAAGAGAATAATAAAGGGAACCAAATCAATGTTGACAGAGGAATAATTCTTCAAAAGAATGTTACATTAAGAAACTGTTGGGGCACTTGAGGGTTCAGTCAGTTCAGCATCTGACTTCGGTTCAGTTCTTGGTCTCATGGTTCATGGTTTCAAGTCCCAATAGGGCTCTGTGCTGACAGCTCAGAGCCTGGGGCCTGCTTCAGATTCTGTGTCTCCCTCTCTCTCTGCTCTTCCCCTGCTCATGCTCGCTCTCTCTCTCTCTCTCTCTCTCTCAAAAATAAACATTAAAAAAGAGAAACTGTTGATAGAGCATTGTTATTGATGACTTAAAACTGCTTTATATGTATTGGATCTCCCATAAAGGTAACTTTACTACTTTTTGTTTTCTTTTGTGGCTAATAGAACATTCCTGTGTACCAGTGGAAAAAAATATCACTTTAGAAAGACCTTCTAATATAGAACTCATATGCCAATTCACAGCATCTAGGGATGTGAATTCAGTAAATGTGACATGGAAAAAAGGTGATGAACTACTTGAGAATTATCTCATCAATGTAACAGGAAGCATCGTGTATGCCCAGTATATGTGAGTATACCACATTTTAACCTGCATGGCTAGGGGAAATAGGTTAACTTCTAAACATCTTTGCTGATGGGGCATTCTTTCCTTTGCTGTCTCTTGAAAGTTATGCTAATATTCTATTTTGAATATTTATATAACTGTTAGAATTGTTTCTATTTTAGAATTTTGACTAAATGCTGAGTCTTTTTCAATTTGATCAAGAAGTGTTTTGAGAACTAAGCCTATATTAACAAATTCTCTTTAGGTTTACCATCATTAATAGCAAACAAATGGGAAGCTATTCTTGTTTCTTTGGAGAGAAAAAGGAACAAAGGGGTACATTTCATTTTAAAGGTCAGTACTAATAATTGATAGAGTAATAATTTCAGCATTATATTTTGAGAACTCTAAATATCCAAGTATTTAGAGTTACAAGACTAAACATAATGACCTGAAGGAGAATCGTATACTTCTCTCTGAATGCTAAGTGGTGACCTTATAAATGGAGCTTCCCAGTCTTTCCAGTGGTAGACTTCGCATTTCCCAATCCATTCGCCATCCAGCCTTCCTCCCCTAGATTAAAGCACAAATCTTAGTTTGAAAGATGGGCTCCAGGTTATCTGTAAGTCATAACAGTCTCTCAAGTTTATTTATTTTTTCATTTGGTTAGCCCACTCAACTCAGAGCTTTTAAATCATCCGTCTAGGGATCTGTTAGTACCTCCCCTGGACTGTGAGAATGGGCTCTGGTGGTCTGTACCTATCAGTGACTCCAAGACTTGGGGGTTTTAGGGATCCACCAAAATTAAAAATAATATGGAGGTGCACAAAGGGTTGCCTGTTTTGGGGCCCTCAAATAAGGACACACTCCAAAATACAATCCATAGCACTCTCCTGTGGAACAAACAAAAAAGGAAAATCAAAGTATTTTACTTTTTCTGTCATTAAACCAAAACCTTAAAGGTCTCAATCTCATAATAAAGACTAGTCATTGAGTTGGATAATTATCTTCATGAAAAACCCTTTTTTGTGATAGATTCATGAACCACAATGTCCATGCTGGTATTTGGGACACGTAGTCGGTTGCCATATTTATTATTTTGGGCTTTGCTTTACATTAATTTCCCAGGATACATGAGAAATTATTCTCTACTTTTCCTGAAAATTGTGAAGTGTGGGTAGCTGCTCTGACAAAATATGAATATTATCTCCAAGGCCCCATCAACTGCAGAATGGCTTGCTTCAGTATTGGCATGATTTAAGATGGTTCGCTCTTACACCCCTCCCTATATTCCCTCTATACTCACAGATTCATGTCCTTCATGTGGTTTTGTAAATGTTCCTACTTGGTAAATATAATAAATCCTTATGTTTATGAAATTTGGTCTCTGCAAAAGCAGAAGCTATTACCATCCTTTGATTATTTTGATCATGTACATTCTCTCTTAACCTCCTTTCCTCTGTTTGGTTAATTTAATTTAGTGAAGGATAGATACACTATGCATTTCCTTCTCTTATTCCCTTCCTCCCCCTGTCTTTTTCTTTTCTTTCTGTACCCCCGTTTCCCTCCACCCTTCCTCCCTTTTTTTCCTTCTTAATGAGCTAAAAGGATATTAAACACATGCACACACATACAACCCTACTTAGCATTTTATTGAGTCTCCTTTAAATGTGTAAAGAAATCCTATAAGTTTTAAGGAAATACTCATCAAATCTTCAGGCTTAAAATGATTCTAGGAGATTCAGTTTTTTAAAAATTTGCTTTCCTCCCTTCCTAAACGGTTCTGTTTTCTAGAAATATGTACTAGTAAATGCTTGTTCAGAATTTAAATATTAAATATATTACACTTTTTCCTATTATCTCTCTTATAATAAATTACTTAAACCATTATTTGGTGGTGATTGTTCCTGCTGCTAATGTGGAGATTAACAGAAGCATTTTACTTTTCAATATACCAATACATTTAATGCCGAGTGTTCTTAAGGAAGGCCTCCCGATTCCATATGTATTTTGAGTTATCTAGGCTAATTTTGGCTGGTGTCAGGACCATCAGCACAAGGCCTAGGTTCGAAATCAAATGCTTGGGGAATGAATAGAGCCACTGAATATTTACTATATATTTTCTTTTTATAGTTTTCTTAAAGTAGTTTAGTTTAGTTTATTGGTTTTTAGTGCCCACTTAACATTAATGTAACTTTTAAGTATGTACTGTATCTTAAAGTTATCTATAAAATTAATAAGTCTGGCCTTTCCAGATTGTCTTTTGGTAAAATAATAATTTCCTATAATTCATCTAAATTGAATATTGCTTGGAAAAATTTTCATTTGATTACAATTTAAAGGCATCTTTAGAATAATTCATTCATATCACAGTTATTTAGTTAAATCCATAAGATATATATTTTTATAAATATCCTACTATATTATTTCTCCACATGGCTTGCTTATGGTTCTTCCCAAGAAGGATTATTTTTCCTTAGCAATGCTACAGCTGAGTGTGGTTGAAAAGGCTTTTTTATCCTCTATTTTAAATTCAGCCAAAAAAAAAAACAAAACATTTTGCTATTGACTACATGAGTCAACTATACCGCATGAGCTTGAGTCCTCAGAACAATTCATCAGCAAAGTCCCTGCTTTGGCCTTTATGGGAGCTGGTTGGTTTATTACCATAAGACTGTAAAAGGGCTTCAACATCACTGATTAATACAATGCAAACTTTGTGTGTTTGGCTGTTGGTGTCAGTACAGGAGAGAGAGCGAAGTTATACTGGAAGCTTGCAAGTGCTAATATGTCAGTGATTACCTTTCACTCAAGAAAGATGAGTGGTGGGCTACAGTGTTTCTTGGCAGTGGGTCACATATTCTGACATAGTTGCTGAAAACAATATTCATCAATGTTAAAATCTCTTAGTAGAAAGATGCAGAAATTTAGTTGAGGAAGGACACGTAATAGCACACAGAACTTTTTTGAAGTCATGGTGAGATTTTGATAGTACCAAGTACTGCAAAACCTGTCTTGGAGTAGCCATCTGCCTTTACTAGGAAGAATCCAAGGGGTCAAAGTATAGAAGAGTAGCCTAATAGAATTCAGTTGGAACTTCAGCTTCAAACCCTAGTGTTGAAGTCTAGTTAGCTATCTTTGACTATGTGGGAGGGTCTTCTTCCTAATTTGATAATACCTTAACATCTTTGAGCCAAAAGGTGACACAGGCTGATTGTTTTCTAGTTCATGAATATGCAAATATAAATCTCTCACCTTACGACTCCATTGGGCTTTTACTGTCACCAGGTACATCCCAGATCCCATCTTATTAGACACGAGTTTGAATTAGCAATTTTGCCATCTTCAAACTTGGGATTCTTCCAATCCCAGGATTCTCCCCTGTCCTGCTTTATCCAAAGTTTCAAAAGGTCAACAGAACACATTCAAATGCTATATCACTGTCCTTCTTTGCATAAATATTTCCAAACATAAGTAGCAGCCCAGAACCAATTGTGACCTCTGGAGAAATTCAAAGAAACTTATGTTTCCTGGCCTTGGTGCATTTTATAAGTTAGATCCACACTGCTATAGCCGGCCATATAAAGTATAGCAGAGCAGTGGTTAATGTCCTTTTGGCCACTAGTGATAGTCAAGAAAACAGAGGAGATGAAAAGAAATCGAATTTTGGTTTTATTTCCTTGTAGCATCACTAAGTCACTGCACAGTTCATTGTCTGCTGTCTGCATCCTGATCTTAACAGATCATTGGGATGGTTTAACAGCATAGCCTTATGTTCCTCACCCAAACCTCATAAAATATCCAAGATTTTCTTGAAAATCTTTCAGCTACCAATCATGCTTTCCAACCCTGTGCCTCTTAGAGACTTACTGAAAAACAGTGTTTTTCTGCCATGTTTCCACCCCCCCCATGTTGCCTTTCTCCTACTTTTGATTCTTAGCCTATGATTAGATTTCAGTATTTTCATCTTATTTCAACACATATTTTCCCAATAAAGCATGACCTAATGAATTCCCAGAGAGAATCATGCTGATATTGTGAACCAAGGTGGTTCTGGTATCTGGGATGGGAGATTAACAAACAAGGAGAACAGAAACTGTGCCCTTGACGAGTGGCCAACACAACTGGTTTCAAAGTCTGCCTTCAAAGTGGTGTTTGTTTCAAGGCAAACCTAGCCTGACTCTAGAAGTAACCATAACAGAGCTACACTACTGGCAAACAGTGCCAGATATATACATGTTGTACCTTTTCATATGGAACTCAAGAAGTGTGGCTCTGCTTCATCTGAGGTTTGGAAGGGGAATCTCCTGGCTTCAGAAAAGAATTCTTATTTTAGCCAAGCTCAAATCTCTGCTTCATCTGTAAGTCTTTAGTCAAGGCCTCCCCTAAACTAGGATTGATCTCTCCAAGAGCTTATTTCTGTGTTCTCATACTTCATTGAAGAATAAAGCCACACCAGGTGTTGGAGATACTAGAATGAAATATGATTAGGAAGTGATCTTTAATTGATAGATCGTGTTTTGTCAGGAGGCCCACAAATAACTTCACTCTCACTTGATCCAGTTGTTCCTTCCCACAACAAAATCTCAAATAAGAAAACATACACAAAAAAGGGATAGTGAAGCAAAGTAACATTTTGTTATTGGCCAGTCTTGACCACAAACCTTGCTGAAATTCTTGGAAGACTATGCCACATGGAAGTCTTCTCTTTTCTCAGTTGGATTATACTGACCTTCAGCTAAAGTGGAGCCATATATTCCTTCCCATCCCAAGGTCAATTTGGTCTTTACTACCAAGACAAGAGGACACACCCTCCTGAGCCAGAAAAAAAACATGCTAAGCCTGAGGCTGTGTTATTTATACCTCCAGATTTCTGTCCCTAAAACACAGGGTCCCATCAGTGCCCTGGACCAAGACCAATCCAGAACAATCTTCCTCTTTAGGACTGGGAAACTGGAGGGCTGAATGAGAGAAGGAAGCTTCTATTGAGGCCACCAGGGACTTCAGTCCACAGGCCACTGCCCAGCCTTCTATTGCCACCACCTCCAGTGGCTAGTGAGGAAGCTGGATCTACCATAAGAAAAACAAAACAGAATAAAACGTCCAATGGTTCAGACTAATTTAGGCCTGTAACATTTTGACATTGAAATTTATTGTCTTGTCAAGAATTAAAATATAGTAATGTTATTATCAGGACAGGTGGTCAATCTCTTCTCTTAGATCCTAGAGTTGCTTCCAGTTTTCTTATATTGGTTATTTTCCCACATTAGAGTGGGCTCTCCAGGTCTACGAATGAGCCCAGAGGGGGTAGCCACAGACTTAGGACACTAAACAAAAGTAGTTTGACTTTATAGGACAGAACACTTATGTGAGAGACACATTCTACTTTTATTTTTAAAAAGGCACGTGGATAGCAATTATTTTCTTATTTAAAAATTTAGGTCATAGATTATGTTAAAGTATTAGTTGCTTTATTCTGCTTTTTCTTGTTAAAACTAGTGTGTGGTAAATGGGCCCTTTTTGTTCTTATATTATATGTAGTATATAAAGTTATTATTCCATATATTCTTTCTGTTCCATATACTACATAGATCTGGCAACAAGATTTTCTTTCTTTCTTTCTTTCTTTCTTTCTTTCTTTCTTTCTTTCTTTCTTTCTTTCTTTCTTTCTTTTTCTTTCATGTTTATTTATTTTTGAGAGAGAGGGACAGGGTGTGAGCAGGGGAGGGAAAAGAGAGAGGGAGACACAGAATCTGAAGCAGGCTCCAGGCTCTGAACTATCAGCCCAGAGCCCGATGTAGGGCTCAAACCCATGAACTGTGAGATCATGACCTGAGCTGAAGTTGGACTCTTAACCAACTGAGCCATTCAGGCACCCCAACAAGATTTTCTTTTAACTTTTTAACCAATTTCATTTCTTATTCTGGTAAGGAACAGTAATGAGGCACCCTGATTTAATTGTTTCAATTTATACTGAAATTGTAATTTTTATACAAACAAAATATTTTTAACTGCTTTCACCAAACACTAGAATGTGTATTTTAAGCAGTAGAATGTGTTTTACAGCTTCACTAAGCTGTTTAATATATGTTATTAAAGGATGGATTGGTGATGTTACCCACATCTCAAAGCTACTGTTTCTACATTCTTTTGGGCCTTGTTTCCTGTGAATTCATCCCTTGAGTTTTTCATGTTTTTACTTTTATAATCTCCTTTTTCACATGGGCTGGGTGGTCCATAGAGGACTCAGCTTGGAGCCTTTCCCCCATTTTGGAGTGTTTTTACATGTTCCTACAATTCTGAGACTTTTCAGATGAATTTCCAGTTCTCTTTTTTTATTTTAAGTCTTATTTCTTCTCTGTCCCACATGACTACGTGACCTAGAAATCATCTTTGCACATAATGATAACCTATCTTAGTAAGCTGGCTAATGACTGCTTTGTAGGTAAGGCCATGGGCATTACAATTTGTAAGAAAGGTCAGTTAAGAAAAGCAGTACTAGTACATAATCAAAAGTTTGTGGTGTTTACTCTGTGCCAAGTACTTCCTGTTTTATAATCCCATACTTAATCCTTTATAAGAAAACTGCACAATAGGTATGTCCTACTTATGTCCTCAACAGTAGTAACAGTAAAAATGTAATCTTAATGTATACATTTCCTGCACTCAAATCAATTCTTTGTCATATCATTGTCACATTGTGCTTACTTCCTTCAAACACTTAATGACATGACCTTTGAAGTGGACACATACTAATCACATATTAACTAAATATCCTTCAGCCTAATGCTGACCAATAGGGAGTGTGGGACACTAGTGGCCTCAGGCAAAGGAATGCACAGAGTATCTTCTCTGGCTGGGCGGTCTTCAATCAAGGTAGTCATATGTAGTCACCTATCTCCTCTCTCCAAGAGCACCCTAGTGGTACCTTACTAGGTTTTCATATACTTCTGATGGGTGATTATAAATTCAGATTGGCAGTTCACACCTATGATTAATGTAAAATTGAAGACCATTCAGTTTCATAAAAACATCTTTCCTTAGTTATGAAAAGTGTGTGAGAACAATTGACTTATAGATTGCTCTGTTATCTTTCTTATGATTACTTGAAGCATTTATACTGTGATGGGTAACATATCTTCCTCTTATTTGCATCTCTTTTTTGTTAGCAGTGCCTCATTCAACACTCTGCTGGTCAGCGGTCTTGATGAAGGAGAGGGTGTTACATGTAATTGTATTTAGGCACAATTTAAACAATCAGGAATAAAGAAAACTCCCCAAACCCATCATTGTAACATTAATCACCTAAGGACAGATTCCATAAAGAAATCCTATTCTCCAACCCTATTTTTACCATTTCCCTGGTAGTTATACAAGTCAGAATTTCTTTTCTAATCATTACTAATTACTTCCTCCTATCTCATCTTTATAATTCATACATCCAGCAAGTGTGCAGTTATTTTTTATACTTTCTGTTGCCAAACTAAAACAGGCAGAACAACACAAAACAAAAAACCTGCTAAAATGAGTAAAAAAAGAAAATAAAAGTAATCTTTGTCTACGTCTCCAGTGTAAGGATATTCCATAATATATCCTTTGAGGTCAATAAGAAGAAGCTGATTCTACCATGGAACTGGTGGCTGTCTTTTTATTGCTCTGCTTATGTTCTTATGTTTTAATTTTCTTTACCAAATTATTCACATCCTTAAGTATTCTAAATTCAGTGCTCACTTTTATTCTGTTTCCAATGGTAGCTGCCTCAAACTTTCTTAGGAAATTTACCATACAAAACAAATAGACAAAAACAGAAAGAGTCATAAATGGAGACATCAAATTGGTGGTTGCCAGAGGGGTGGGATGTGGTGGGGAATATGGACAAGATGGGTAAAGGGGAGTGGGAGTAAAGGATTCCAATTATGGAGTGGATAAGTCCAGGGGATGAAAGGTACAACAGAGAATATAGTCTGCAATATTGTAATAGTGTTGCCTGGCGGCCGATGTGTAAGCACATGGGTAAGCATAACTTAACATAGACTTGTCTGATCACTATGATATACACCTGAAACTAATGTAATATTGGGTGTCATCTGTGTTCCAATTAAAAAAAAGTTAGTGGTTTCATATTATATGAAACTAAAATTACATAAAGAAAATTATATTAATGAGAAAATGAAAGAAAGGAGAATTTGTCTTCAACTTGAATGAATTTCCTTATTCAAACTCTTTGAGTAACATGTATTTTTCTAAATATTTCTTAGTCCCTAAGATTCATGGAAAAAACAAACCATTGGTCACTTATGTGAGGGATACAACTGTCTTGATATGTAAATGTCAACATTGTTCTCCTTTAAATTGGACCTGGTACAGTAGTAATGGGAGTGTCCAGGTAAGATCATATTTTTTTGATTTGAAAAAAACAAAATGAAAACTTTTATTTCATAAATAATAAGATTAACAGACTCAGAATTTCGAGGACTATTTGTACTTCTGTTATCTTACTAGAACGATGATAAATGCAGTTGTCATTGAATGTTTTTAGCATATTCCATTTTACATCTGAAGATAACTTTTAATGTTTCATTAACTGGAACTTTGTTTCTTAGATTTAGCAACTTATTTAAATTTTTTGAAAGGAAGTTATAATTCACTTTTAGTTGATGAGTTTCGAAATACCCTAACAAGAAGATTCTCTTCTCTTACCATCCCATGAAAAGTATCTAGAAAAAAACAGTTTTCTTTTCCAGTTTCTGTCTCTGGAAAAAATTGTGATAGAATGCAACACAGTGGCGTCATTTGAGAAAAGAATAAAAATTTGGTAGCTTAAACTCAGGTCTTGGGAGTGTCATTGGCCTTTCTTGGCCTTCCAGAATCATAAGGGAAACCAAAGACTTTACATTCCTGTTAAATAATTAATGGCTGTTCAGAGAGCTGATAATAAGGAAAACATGAGCGTTCAAAAAATCATTTCTCATTCTTTTTCTTCCTCCCAAATAGCCTCTAAGAGAAAGCTTAGCCTCTTTCAGCCTCTAAGGGAACTTTAGCACATTGTCCTTTAGAGGACATCTGTCTATTGCTCTGCTACTAATGAGCATTGAAATTAAAGTCCTGTGAAGGCAAGCTGTAATTCTAGGAGGGATAGTATGCGACAGTGTAGACCTTACAGTGAAATACTAAATTCCTTCTTAGACTAAGTTGATATTGCCATAGACTGTTGAAGAGAACCAGAGGAAGGACATAAAGGGGGGAGTGACTGTTTCTGTGATTGGTCCGATTTTTCAGAGAAAGCTCCAGGTCACTTAAGAGTAAATTTAAACCAGTAGTATTTCTGCTTATCTTCTCATTGATGATTAGGAAAGGCAATCATTTTGTGTGCGTAAATATTTTTAACCATGTAAATTTATAAAGATAAATACCAATTGTAGTACTTGAAATACATAGCCTCATTTATTTATGTATATGGGACATGAGGCAAAAAAATAACCTATATTTAATGATGTTAAACTCTCAGAATGTAGTCTGTACTTCTCTTCATTTGCTATAGTAGTTTTCTCTCAATTTGGCCCTACGCATGGGTCATATTAGGATGTAAGGAAAGTGTAAGGAAGAGCTGCAGGTCAAACTTCAAGTGTTTTCTCAAAACGTGGATGGACCATGTGCCTCAGAATCACCTGGGGTGCCTATTACATGTGCATTACTTTGATTTATCAGCTCTGTGTTAGAGAGGGTTCATTTGAACATCACAGATAGCGCTGTGTACAGGGAGCCAGGTTGCTAAAATTTTGGGGAGCAAATAATAAACTGATGGACATTTCTTCATCAGATAACCTCTAAGAATATTTGTATGCAGATTAGCATTTATCGAGCAATGCAGTTGAGTGATAGTGCAGTGAAGGCACCAAATGGCCTGAGAATAAATTTTAATTTAAACGGATTAAATAAATCAGCTCCATAATAGCTTAGTATGGCTTTTGAGAGGCTGGGGAAAAGCCAGTGAATCTCAGAAGCCAGCTTGCCTGAGAAAGACAGAAATTCGGATATGAGAAGATAGAAAGGGTGCAGACAAGCTCATATACTGGGCTCACATGGGATTTCCACCGTTCCCTCTTCGTCAGCTTCTAAGGCCTAAAGATTTCATCCTCAGTTCCAGTCTGAGGAACTCCCAATGTCAGGAGCCAGTGATTTCTTTATAGGAATGATCAGATTTAATAGCTTCATTAATTCATTAATTTCAATAGTTGATTTGATGTATGCTTGCTCTTGGGAAGGAGGAAGTACTTTAAACAGCTAGTTAGGGATTAGAGTGTGTAACCCAGATGGCTGGAACTTTTCTGTATTTTCGATTCTGATATGTACCCACAATGACCTATACACTATAGTTACAAACTCTGAGTGCTTAACACTGAAGTTATCCCTTTCCTTCCCTACCTTTGGGGATCAAACTCTTGGACACTGTTAATATGCTTTATACCTTCTGCTCAAACTAGATTATTTAGGATATGTATCTTTTCTGCAATATGATAGGAATGGATTTTAATGTCTCCTTATATTAGGTTCCTATTGATGTTCAGATGACTGATAAGTATGTGATCAATGGAACAAATGCTAATGAAACAAGGCTGAAGATAATGCAACTTACAGAGGACAATCAGGGGTCTTACTGGTGCCATGCCGTGTTCCAGTTGGGCGAGAGTGAAGAGCGTGTTGAACTTGTGGTGCTGAGTTACTTGGTGCCCCTCAAACCATTTCTTGGAATAGTTGTTGAGGTTGTTATTTTAGTGGCTATTATTCTGCTTTATGAAACGTACACCCAAAAGAAAAAGAAGCACATAGGTAAGATTTCTTTTTTTAGATAATGTTCTCATATTATGACAATACATTATCGTGGCTTTAGAGTTTGGGGGAAATATCTAGCTTTTGTTATCTGGAGTGATATTTATGTTAATATTAATGGTGACAGTGCTATGAGTTTATATTGATAGACTTTCTGTTTCAACTTCTTTAAATATTTTAGTATGCAAATATAATTTTTTTCCCTTTTTCTTTGGTGTTACTAGTCACCGATTAAGTGATATGTGCTTTGGTACTGGAATATTAGAAAGTTCCATTATAGCCTAACATAGACGATCTCAAAGACTGTCTTTCACTTAGATAACACATTTAAAAAATATTTTATCAAACGTTCTGGAGTTCTCATAAAAGAGACATTGTTCAGTCAGTTTTCTATTTTTGTAGCATGTGTCTTAGAGATTACAGGTTGAGAAACCAATGGTCCTCTAAGAAAATTTATCTTACAATCTGTATTCTTTCCTGATTTTGTACTAAATTTTTATAAACTTAAATAATTACAAATCAATCAGCCCTATTTTGAAAATCCCAGACCCTAGGTTATGCCTGATCAAAAATTGCAGGTAAGGTCTTAGAGAGCAGGGAAAGGGGAGAACATAATGGATGTGCAGGTGTCTTATGTAGTACGTCTCTCTTTCATTCCAAAGAGGGAAAATGGCACAATGCATTTTTAACACGGGGAAAGTTGAATTCAACATACTTGTGCCATAAGAATAATAAAACCAATCTTAATAAATTCTTCTTTTGCTACACAGATGATGGGAAAGAATTTGAACAAGTTGAACAGCTGTAAGTATTATTTTTTACAAATTAATTTTCGCTTGAGTAAAATACAGATGAGTATGAAATTGAATATAAAAGTTTTCAGTTGGGGAAAAAACATAAGAGTAACATAATGTACATGTTATTTTCAGTACACATCTGTGTGTGGAGAGGCATGTCTGCAAGGGACCTCCTCCCCATCACTCACTTTTACCTCTCTGTGCTTCAGTTTTCTCCTCAAAAAATGGGTTTAATGATAGTACTTGCCATATAAGGCTTTTGGGCTAAATGGTATTCTATATGTAACAATGCTTAGCCTAGGCTTTGATGCACAAAGGTGTTCGGTAACCATAAGGAAGTATTATTTGTATAAAACAGTATTTCTCAAACTTGGCTGTATTTTTGGTCACTTAGGATGCTCCTTAAAAATACAGTTGTTCAGGGGCACCTGGGTGGCTCAGTCAGTTGAGTGTCTGGCTTCGCCTCAGGTCATGATCTCCCAGTCTGTGAATTTGAGCCTCGCATCAGACTCTGTGCTGACAGCTCGGAGCCTGGAGCCTGCTTCAGATTCTGTGTCTCCCTCTCTCTCTGCTCCTGTCTTGTTCACACTCTCTCTCTCAAAAGTAAAAATAAACATTAAAAATTTAAAAAAATACAGTTGCTCAGACTTTATGGATCTCCTGGATCAGGACCTCTGGGATTGGTGCCTGAGCATCTGTATTTCTCTAAAATGTCTATCACTGATTCTGATTCTCTGTCATGTTGAAAATCACTGGCCAAGAATTTTATTAGTCACTACTTTTGAGAGAACACCTATTGTGCCACAGGTTCTCTTATAGCCCCTTTGTGGTGAGTCAAACATGAAGAGGGCTGAGAAGAAAATTGTCAGGGATGTAGTTTAGTGTGGTGAAGATGGGTGTTACTAGTTCCTCTCAGCCAGAGGACTGAACGTGGAGTCCAGTGATAGAGGTGCCCAAGCCTGGGATTCAAGGTCTGAGTGCCACAGTGAAGGGCTGGGCCAGGAAAACGAGACCAGATTAAAGCAGCTGATAGAAAGCTAGGAAATGGAATGCCTGAGAAAATGTAACCAATATAGAATGGCACTTGAAGTTTATCTTTATTAGCCAACACAAGCCCTTAGGTATGGTCTATAGCCATGGTTAGAGAGCAAGAGTGGGTTAGACTGCTGTCATTTAGATATTTGCAGACATTATTCAGATAGTTCTTTTTACTCTGTTCACATATGGTAGGTAAAATAGATACGAACTTCTAAAGTAAGGGCATGAAATAATTATATCAGGAGTTCTATAACCTCAGAAAGAAAACAAAACAAAACAAAATAGTGTTGTCTTAGCATAAACTCATGGTTGGAAGGAAATTGCACCTCTTTCTGGAGAACTTGGACACCTCGTTTATACTGCTTTGAATGTTTTATCTTTCACCTATCAATTCCCATTGTTATACTTGGACTCATATGAAAAACAAGACCGTATTTCAGATACTTGAAACAGCTACAGACTTGCCTGATTTCTGTTCTTCGAGCTCTGCTTCCCCAGTGTTCCCAGCCATTCCCTTGTAGTCACATTTGGGGGCTTTGTGGTTTGTTTAACACACACTCTGAAAGGATGACATCAGAAGAGCATAAAACAGTACTAAGTATGTAACATCAAAGCAAGCTAGTCACTTCAGGTATTTCAATGAGGAACTCATTCATTTATCTGATCCACTCATAGGTTTAATGCATACAATCTCATCTACTGGCCCCTCTCCAAATTTTGCTTAAGTGGTTGAATTTATTATCTGGTGGTAACAGCTTAATGAGCTCAGGGCTGCCCAAAAGACCTAGAAGCATATTCTTATGCACTCTTGTTACCTTGTTTAGTCATTCTTGCCTTTAAGAATCTGAAGCCCACATTTGTGGTCTTGCCCTGATGCACATCGGGTAGACAGAGAACTGTGTTCAACCTCTAATTCATTGTAATAAACATGTTAGATTACAGCACCCGTCTCTTACGTGTTCACTGAGTTTCTGATTGGCTATTATCTTGCAGGCCTCAAAATAATACACAAGTTATGACCACATACCCAAGTCCTCACGCAGGTTGGGTGAGAAGCAATTTTTCCGCTGCATAAAACACACAGGACTTGGTCACAGTCATCTGTGGCAACAGTTCATCTCTAAGCAATGGTATAAAAATGAAATCAACATTGCGAGTAAAACATTTTTAGGAAAAATGAATTGTCTGTATTGACCTTTTTCGTTTTAACCTGATGGCCATAGTACATATGGTATACTGACTTGGTTTTATGTAATGTAAATAGCTAGTGGTTTTCTTTTTTGTTTTCTATACAGGAAATCAGATGATAGCAATGGTGTAGAAAATAATGCCCCCAGGCACAGAAAAAATGTAAGTTACTTCCAAAGGATATTCCAAATGAAAGGTAAAATTCATATACACAGACTGTTATTCCAGCTACATTTTTTAGTTTCATACAAGACCTAATCATTCACTATGTGTTTGAATATGCTTGTTTACAACATTATAGGAGAAAATTTGTAGTTCTACAAGAATAAGTGATATATCTTTTCTATCAGAGAACATGTAGCAACCAATCTAAAAGTAAATCTGTTCCACTGTGTGTGTGTGTGTGTATCTCACCATGGGCTAGCTAGTTCTTTTTACTACTTTTCATGTAGTCTTATTTTTTTTTCTCTCATAGGTTTTGTGGATTTTCCTTTTTTTATTCTCATATACTGCTATATATTTGGCACTATGAGCAAATTCATATTAGCTTATTTTCTTTACTGATTAGAATCAAAATTTTCATAGTTCATCAACATTTTTTTCCTCAGTATTTAGGATAGTTACTGTTGGTTTTGGCAGTGGTTTGGATCACTCCTTTCTAACACTTACTGCTTTGCTAGAGTGATAAGTAGTTCTGGAATGATCAGGACATGCTAATTATGTTTCATTATGCTTTATTTAACTCAGGAATCTGTGAGCCAATGAATGCGAAACATCATGTCAAGAGTCATGGGAAGATGTACAGTTTGTATTTCAGCTTTATTTATGCTTCCTGTTAAGAACATCTGACTTTTTATTTTTAAAAGGATGAAAAGTTTATGCAATATATTGCTCAGCAGTAGCTTTGTAATAATATATACTATCTGGGATCTAAAGATATATTTTCATTCTGCAATTATTTTTACATTAAAGCAAGGTAAATTATCTTAAATATGTTCTATGAGATATAACCCAGGATAATTAATTTCATCCTGTTTTTCAAGGGACGCACAGAACAGATACCAGCAAAACCAGTTAATATTACACAGAACTAATGTCATTCAGACCTCTTTATAACCAAAGAATTCATTAATGAGAAAGCCTTTGCCATTTGCCTTAAAAAGGTTTTTTTTCCCTAATCATGCTTACTATGTATAGAAATATTTGTAATAATTTTCATGTAATGTTCATCCTTCTGTCACACTGGGGAAAAAAACATCTTCACTAGAAAATGAATACTTTCTGCCTTTACTAACAATTTGCAACCTCCACATAATTTTCCTCCACAAACATCGGTTAAGGCAAGGAAATATAGCCATATACTTTCCCCAAATCTACCATCACCACAAAAGCATGTTTCCCAACCTTTGTTTCACTCCTCTCCACTGCTTTCACACAAAAGTGTGAAAAAGCGTCACAAAAGTGACTCTTAGTCATTATGTGGAATATTTTTTAAATGTCGTGGGTTTTAGATTTCCTAAGTTCCACCTGGTGTTGATGTGGTAGCATACAGGTCCATATTGTCATAATATAGCACTGCTACAGGGATGCTTCTGTGGTTCACGGCTTCCTGGCGTCTTTGACTTGGTACCTGGTGTCCTGATACCCATGGGTGGCTAAATATCTAAAAAGGCATTTGGTGCTTAATAGTCACAATTCCTTTGTTTGAAATCCAGAGGTATTATGGTAGTTCTTCTCTGTTGTTACAAATGCCTTAGACTTTTCTTCAAAATTAGAATAGTTCCAATTGCATATATAACTGAAATATTTTGTAAAATCACTGTAACTAAATCGAATGAAATAGAAAAATTGTCAATGGCTTTGAGTGGACTATTAAAATCATACTGCAGGATACTAGACTGGGTTGAAGATGATGATGTGACACCTTTGTGTCCCTAATGCTGGTCGGTCCAGTGGGGTATTGCAGCATTCAGAACAGTCAGATGCCAAGAGGGAGGAGTTGGGAATGGTGGCAAGGCACCCATGATTTTTGGTGACTAAGAGATTCATATTTGGAGACGAGGAGTTCAATAATTTGGAAAAAAAAAACTTATAGAAATTTACATTGTGTAGTAGCTAAGAAAAGTAATAAAATTGCATTAAGGGAAATTCGAATTTATATGACATCTTAACTAATATTGAAAATATTATGAATAGGAGTAGCACACATAACGTAGTGACTTAGAAACTGCTCATTGTTTTGTTGCAGAATGTTTTGTGTAAAGCATGTTAACTATGCATACATGTTTTATTGAGCTAGGTATCCCTTTAGTAATGGCAGATTTCATGTCATTCTTAGTCTCAGAGCCATAAGCCATGCATTGTTTTGGTTTAATTCTTTATTTGATAAAATTCTCTGGGATGGTATCTCTGTGATGGCAGATAACCAACCAATCAGTTCACATAATTGACATGAACAATTTGAATTCAGTGAAAAATTAGTCAGACCTATTATTTGACTAAGTACATTCAAAATGGTGTGATTGAGTATATACAAAACAAAAAACAATTTGTAGCTCATAGACAGTATGCATCCTTACATTTTGCAACACTGTTTAGGCTAAGATATTTTTCAAGCAAGAAAAATTGCTGCCCCATGGTAATCTGAAATATTTACTTAATAAGTTGAATTGTTAAGGATCAATGCTTGCTATTTTTCCTAGCAAAGGCAATTCATTTCAGTGACGTTAGGCAGAAAATGCACTCAGAAAATTAAAGTGGAGTTTTGGCTTTTTAGATTCTCTCTGGAGGAACTTCTGGAAAATTACTTCAGACTCTTAGATTAAAAATGGAATGCTTCCATTAACTAACCTCATGTGGAAGATAAATGGATTAACTCATAATAACCAATTGTAAGTTGGCTGAAAATTCTAAGTAAGCAGAAAAGCTGAAGTAGGGAAACTGCTCTGTGTTTATGTATTAGACACCTTGGGAAGTTCTATTAATCTTTCCAGCTAACAGGGTTTTGCAGAATAAGTAGATTTAATGATGTCTTAAAATTCCCAGATACTTTCATATTCAGTTAATGCTCTAATCTAAATCTTCTCCCGTTGTAACTTTCTCTTTTTTCTCAGCGTCTAGATACTCAGGCCAAAACGAAGAACTCATTGTGATATTTTCTTCTCCTCTATTAACTAATGCTCATTATTAATGAATCTTTGTTTCTTCACCCTTCTCAGTAGTTCATTAATCCACCCATTGCCTTCCTCACCCCACTCTCAACCACTGCAATAGCAAGGGCTTGATTTTCTTACTTCTGTCTCATCTTCTATTAGTCCATTTTTTGTACTGCTGCCTGAGTCATCTTTCTAAAACACAGATCTTGCTTTGTTAACTCAATATGACAGCTTCCATTCTGTAGGCTCATCTTTGATATTTCTTTTTTTTTTTTTTTTAGTTTATTTATTTTGAGAGAAAGAGCACATGCTCATGCGCATATGGATGTGGGGCAGGGAGTAGCAGAGAGGGAGGGAGAGAGAGAATCCCAGCTCAGAGCCCAACTCAGGGCTTGAACTCACAAACCGTGAGATCATGACCTGAGCTGAAATCCAGAGTCCAAGCCTCCACAGAATGAGCTATGCAGGCACCCGTTTCTTAATACTGCAGTTTTCCAAATTGCTAATCCAACTCCAGTGTTTTGACTTAGCCTCGATATACAGAGAACTAGTACAGAATGTTGTCCCCTCCTCTGTGCTCCTTCCATTGACTGACTCGAGTTGAGCTTTCAGAACTTTAATCTGATGTTATTTCCTGGTGGATCTTTCACACCCAGTGGAGTATATACCATGTTGTGTCATCAAATAATTCTGCATTTCCTTGCATTTATTACCCTGTAACATCTTTCTTCCTGTCCTGTGCCTAACCTACCACAGAGAGGATGCATTGGAGATGTCACAAAATGAATAGATAAATGTATCCATAAAAATCAATCAAGTTTCATAAATTTGTAGTTATTTTTAGAGCAATCTAAATTGTGACATCAGAATTAAAACACATTATTTTAACAGAGATAAACATGGTTTTGAGTCAATGTTTGCTTCTATTACTTTGAAAACCACACAGTAATAGGATCAAAAGTGTCATCAGATTTTAATAATGTATTAATATCTAGTGAGTGAAGAGAGTTCTGATTCCTAAACTGCTATACAGGGTGTGCCCCTTTCAATTTATTTAGATTACTATTGTCCTCTATTTTTGATGGGCAGTTTGATGTTAACCTTAATTTTATCTTTTATTTTAATAAGATAATGTATTAAACTTAAATGTAAAGAACTTTAGCAATTATAGCCTTTGCCTGGTGCTGTAGTGCCCCCCTACTCCTCATTTCTCTTCCCTGCCAATACCTTCTAGTACGTTAGAGTATCTCAGAATCCAATTCAAAATGCTATAAAAGAAAACGTGTTAAAGAAAGCTTTCATTGTTAATTTTGATCACTGAAGGTTTGTCTTTAATCAAATACATCAAAAGAAAAAAATGTCAGTTCTGCTCACTTATTCCCTAGGTCTTCATTTTTGAGGCATTTAAATAGATTTATACAAGATGGTTACTGAATATCTACTATACTTCCTTACCAAAAATAAACTTTTCTCATTGAAAAGGGCTATGCAGTCAGTGAATTAGGGGACTTGCTCCCTCTTGTTCATCTTCAGGTGGGAGTAAGTTCAAGTATGTGTTCCAGTATTAATTAAAAGGCACATCTCAATGGGTTAAGTGTCCACCTTCGGCTCAGGTCATGATCTCAAGGTTCATGGGTTCGAACTTCGCTTCGGGCTCTGTGCTGACAGCTCAGGCCCGGAAACTGCCTCAGATTCTGTGTCTCCCTCTCTCTCTTTCTGTCCTTCCCTGTTTATGCTCTCTCTCTCTCTGTCAAAAATAAATAATAAACATTAAAAAAAGACACAGTGACGCACTTAGAGCATGCTCTGAGTTAATATTTATTGGATGAATGAAAAATAGACAAATGAGTCAATTTTGTTGGAATCTTAAATTATACATATTTACATAATGTCTACTTTGATTTTGATGAACTAACTTTGACTATACCCTATCCAGAGAAAAAAGAAAACTGAAACTGTCTATATTCAATTCTGTGATATTTAGGAATGTATTTGCTCTGAATCTAGATGGCCAATTACATCCCCAATTGAGTTCCTCATTAAAAATATATAATTTTATGGGGCACCTGGGTGGCTCAGTTTGTTAAGTGTCTGACTTCGGCTCAGGTCATGATCTCATGGTTCATGGGTTCGAGCCCCACATCAGGTTCTGTGCTGAACGTTTGCTCAGAACCTGGAGCCTGCTTCCAATTCTGTGTCTCCCTCTCCTCCCCTCACACTCTGTCTCACTCTGTCTCTCAAAAATAAAAATAAATGTAAAAAAATTTTTAAAAGAATATATAATTTTATTAAGTAATAATAACTGACATTTGTTGAGTGCTCAGCATGTGACAGGCACTGTGCTAAGTGCTTTGAAATCTGTGACCTCCTTGAATCCCCACATCACATCCATATGCTACAAAAACTCTTACCATTTGCTGTATTAGAGATGAGAAACAGGAAGTTTGGGGGGCTGGTGTTTGGAGCTGGGATGGAAATCCAAGGAGTGCTTCTCAGGAGCCTTCGCTTAACAACCATGTTGACCGGCTTTAGCCTCTACTTACATGCATCTTAGAAAATGAGGCTATTATCTATATCAAGTACCTTTTTAACTAAATTTTACTTTCTTAAATGGTCAGTCAAATAAGTTCCACAGTCTTATCCCCGAGGCTTATACAATACATGCTGTGGCAAACTTGTGCCCCTGCAAGTCCTCTGGGAATCGTGACTCTTCTGTTCCCTTGGAGAATCCTTTTTCCCACCTTCCCCTCAAGTTACTTCTCAGTAGTTAGTGTGACCAT